TCCTCGGCGCTCGCCGGCAACTCGGTTAAGATACCGTCCTCGAACCTCGCTCCATCCACCAGAAGTCCCATAAGATTCCGCCCTCCATTCAGCGGACGCCAGCGCTCACTCAGCCTCAGCGACACCTTGAACACAAGGTACAACGCGCTGTCGCGACGCTTCATTCGTCGAGTGGCGTCCGTCCTCAACCTCACAGCGCTGAACACCGACTCCAGAGGATTCGTCGTCCGCAGATGCACCCAGTGCTCGACCGGGAAGTCATAGAAGCTCACGAACGACTCCCAGTCCCGAAGCACCGTATCGGCGGCATCTGAGCGACCATCCGCTCTCAGATCGGAGACGTACTCGTCCCTCAAGCGCTCGCACTCCACTCGCGTCGGCGCATACGACATCTCCCTCAACTGCCTGCGCGCCTCAGAGTTCAGCGCCTTCGGCAACTTCGCCTGCACGTTCAGCGCACGGTGGTTCCAGCACCTCTGATGACCGGTCGTCGGGAACACCGCATCGAGCGCAGCCCACAACCCCAGCGCACCGTCTCCCACCGCCAATAGCGGCGCACTCAGACCCCGATCCCTCAAGCTCCTCAGCACACCAGACCAACTCTCCGTGCTCTCACGATAGCCAAGCTCCATACCCAGTAGTTCCTTCACTCCGTCCTCCCTTGCCCCCACCACGCATAGCAGCGCAGTCTTCTCCCTGTCCACTCCGGCCCCCAGGTACACTCCGTCCGCCCAGATGTAGGCGTACCTGCACTCGTCCAACTTCCTGCTACACCACGCCCGATACTCCGACTCCCACTTGCTCTTCAACCTCACGATCGCGTTCGGACTCAATGCCGCAGTCTCTCCCACCAACTCACGAAACACCGGCTCGAAGTCTCCGGTGGACAATCCCTCCAAGTACAACTTCCGAAACAGATCCTGCGTCTGACGACTCGTGCGCTCATATCGCCTGACTATCTTCGACTCGAAGCCACCACCAGCCACCTCAGCAGGCACGTCCGACACCCTAGGCGCCTTCACCTCCACAGCTGAGACTCCCACCGTCAGTTCCCTGCTGCGGTGATAACCGTTCCTGTATCCGCGGAACTCCTCGCCCCGCTCATAGCGGTCCCTGCCCAGGAACCCGCTCACCTCCTCTTCGAGTGCTGCTGCGAGCATCCTTCTCGCCCCCTCCCTGACCATCGCTTCCAGCGTGTCGTCAACTACGTTCGCCTCTTCTTCGTTCTGATATACTTCCCTCACGGCGTACTCCTACAGTTTTTCGTCTCATCGACGGTTTGTGATACCTGGAGGATACGCCCTTTCTCTTACCTGCGCCTTTTCAATTTCCACAACTTCTGAGTATAGCTCCTTACCTGGAGTTGTACAACCGAGAGCGACCGCACCAGTCTCTGGGCTATCGGACTCCGGCTCAGGTGTTTGCAGAAGGAAGGCCACTCAGGTGTTTACCAGAGCAGGCATCGACGTTATCATCTCGTGAGCCAACGTCAGACTTTCCAGCGGGAGTCTCTCTTAACCTGGCCTCCTCATTGTCCTAACTGTGGGGTCCACCACAGTTATCATCTCGTGAGGTAGTGTCAGACTTTCCAGCGGGAGTCTCTCTTAACCTGGCCTCTTCGTTGTCCTAACTGTGGGGTCCACCCCAGTCTCCCATCCAGCACGGCCGCTCCGACTGATGGCGCGCTGCGTTTGAAGAGCCAATTCATCGCTGGTTGAAAACCTCCCCGGCCACATTGACTCCCTTTTCTCGTTAGACGAAACAGCGTCCAATCCTTGTCCAATCGCCTGCTGCTTACCAGTCAATGTGCGCCTCCGATACACCTAATGATGATCGCCGTACCTGCCGGCGTAGCCGATGGCACTCTCAAGTCCGGTCACGGCGAAGTCGAGATGATCCGCATGCTCAAGAGCGTGAAGGACTCTGCCGTCAAGGCTCGCACCCAGGCCGGCAACCAGATGAAGGCTCTGGTTGTTACTCCTCCTGCCGAGCTTCCCGAATCGCTCGATGGTCTTACCACCAGCGCTCTCGTCAAGCGGTGCAGAAGCTTCCGTCTCACCCAGCTGGACGATCCCACCGCTGCAGCCAAGTACGCACTTCGTGCCCTTGCCTGCCGCTACCGGCAACTCGATGATGAGGTGCGGGGCCTGGAGACCGAAATGGAACGACTCACGCGGTCAGTCGCGCCGACCACACCCGGCTCATCAGGTGCGCCCTACTGAGCGCCTGCCCGGCGTGTATGGACAGCTCGTAGAGGAGCCGGTATTCGGTCGCCGTCAGCTGCATCGACCTGCCTGCAAAGGTGACTTGTCGTTTGGCGTAGTCGATTATCCAGTCACCCAGCACCAAGGGCTCCGGTGGATTGGAGTGATGACGCCCTGCTAGCCTTCGTAGCGCCGCCCTCACCCTGGATTCCGGCCTTCGCCGGAACGACGAGTAGCTGACGCTCCCGTGCCACTCCTTGACAGTGTGCGGCCTCGAACATACCATCGCCTTGTAAGCTCAGGCGGAGGTGGGTCTTCATGTTGGATACTATTGTTACTGGCGGGCAGGTTGTGACTCCGCAGGGGGTGCTGGAGGCGGACATTGCCATCTGGGATGGCAGGATCGCGGCGCTGGCGCATCCTGGCGTGCTCTCGACTGAAGGGGCGCAGGTCGTCGACGCGTCGGGGTTGATCGTGCTTCCGGGCGGGATCGAACCACACACGCACATCGGCATTCCGGTGCCTGAGCAGTGGGCCGGTCGGCCGGAGGTGTTCACGCAGCCTCCCGAGGCGGCCACACGGGCCGCGGCGTTCGGCGGGGTCACCACTCTGCTCGACTTCGCGGGGACGCTGCCGGTCACGCCTGACGACCCTGTCTCTCCGGACCCGATCATGCGGCAGATGGAGTCGCGGCAGCAGGCGTTCGCGGGCCACAGCTACATCGATTTCGCGTACCACTACATACTCGCGGGCGCGGTGAGTCCGAAGACCATCGGTGAGATCGGAGAGGCGATCCAGGCCGGTCAGGCCAGCTTCAAGATCTTCACGACGTTCGGCGGTCGCGTGCCATACGGTCACCTGCAGGCCATCTTCGAGGAGGTGTCGAAGAACGAGGGCATCATGGCGGTCCACGCAGAGGACGACGACATGGTGACCTACATGGAGGAGAAGCTGAAGCGCGAGGGCAGGGACCAGGGTCACAACCTGCACTTGGTGCACAGCAACATCTCCGAGGACGTCTCGTTCCGCAAGGTGATCAGGATGGCGGAGCACGCGGAGGTGGCGATCTATTTCGTCCACGTCACGGCCAAGGAGGGTGTGGCGGCTATCGGCGAGGCCAGGGAGCGGGGTCAGCCGGTGTATGGCGAGGCACTGCACAACTACCTCGAGTTCACCAGCGACGACTACAAGAAGCCGAACGGCACGAAAATTCACACGTACCCGGCTATCAAGTACGCCTCGGATAGGGACGCGCTTCAGCTTGGGCTGATGGACGGTCGGGTATCCACGACGGCTACGGACGAGTACACCACGTACAAGGACGTCAAGTTCTGGGGGCAGACCATCGAGACGGTGTGCGGAGGTCATAACGGCATCGAGACGAGGATCCCAGTTGCGTTCACGAAGTTCGTTTCGCAGGGCGGCATGTCGCTGACGCGGTTCGCGGACATAATCTCGACCAACGCGGCTAAGATCCTTGGGCTGTATCCACGGAAAGGGGTCATTGCGCCGGGCAGCGACGCCGACCTTGTGTTCATAGACCCGAACGTTCGCAAGACGCTCACGCTCGACGACCTCCACGCGGACTCCGACTATAGCATCTGGGAGGGATTCGAGTGCGAGGGATACCCGGTGAAGACGATGCTGAGGGGCAAGGTGATCGTGGAGGACGGGAGGCTGGTCGGCAACTCGTCCGACGGCGAATGGCTGCCGCGCAAGGTGTCGCCTGAGACGCTGGCGCGACCGGTGGTCTAGGTACCACGTAAGCGTCGGCTCTCTCATTCAAGTTCGTGTTGAACCAGTTGAGCATGGACACCAGGTGGCCAAGTTGGGACCCGGACAGCTGGCCGAATGCCTCAACGAATAGTGTTGACATTGGAAGTCACCGCACCGTTTCGTTTCTCAGGTCGGCGGCCTTTTGTCTACTGTCGCGAGCATTCTCCATGCGGTCTCGTGGTGGGTTGTGCCTTGACGTCGTAGTAGTAGGTGTCGAGCAGGACGTGGGTGCAGCCGAGGGCCTGATCTGGTCGAGGCTGCCTTCGCCGGCGATACGCTGGTCGTCGGGCATGGGCGACTCGGTGATGCGCAGGCGTATCCTCGGACAGAGCGCGGGTATAGGCATCTGCTCGCGGTCCGCCATCTCGCGCAGGCGAGGAATCTCCCTGTCCTTGAAATCGGACACGCGTATCCTGATCGGGTGCCAGCCGTCTCCGTAGCGCACCGTCCGGCGGAGTGCACCGTCGCCTGCACCCCCGACCCAGATTGGCGGGTGAGGCTCGCGGACGGGACGCGCAGCGGTGTCGACGTCGGTGAACGAGACGAACCGACCCTCGTACGAGGCGACGTCCTGCGTCCACAGTGCCTTGATGGCCGCGAGGTAGTCGTCAGTGATGGCTCCTCTCTGGCGGAACGGGACGTTGAGCGCGTCGAACCCCTGCTCGGCCCAGCCGACACCGACGCCGAGGATGAACCTGCCTCCACTAAGCTGGTCGACGTTGGCCCCTGCTCTCGCGATCTCTAGCGGACTTCGGTACGGCAGAATGGCGACTGTGGTACCGATCTCCATGGACTGGGTGGTAGCGGCGAGCCAACCCATCGTCGTCAGCGGCTCGTAGAACGGGGCTGGGTACCTGGAGCTGACGTCCGGTGTGACGGCGATGTGGTCGGAGCTCATGATCAGGTGGTATCCTATGGCTTCGACCAGGTTGACAGAGCGGGTCAGGGATTCGGGGTTGGCACCCGGACCGAAGTTGATAAGGTTGACGCCGAATTTCATTATTCTTTCCTTTCTGTTTTCCCTTTAGTTGCGGCACTGTCCGAGATGGATGATAATCGAGCATGGCTGCTAGGAGAATTACGATGACCTACACTCTCGCCGATTTGGACGCCATGAGCATAGAGGACGCCCAAGCGCTGTCATTCGTGGAAAGGGACGCGCTTCTGGACCTCATTATCGCAGACGGGCGGCACCAGACCACGGACCTCGACTCGTACCGCGTGGGGCTGTACGGGGACTACTTCGACGAAGACCTGACGCGGATGCTGAAGGTGAGAGCGATCAAAGTTCACGTCAGAGAGAACGACGGCGTCCGGGTTCGACGGCGTGCTCGCAGGGGAATCCGACGAAGAGCAATACCGCGCGACCTTCCGGCTGTGCAACAGTCGCTCGAGGCGGCGGGAGCGGACTACAGTCGCGTCGTCACGCTGGTCGTCTTCCTGACGGACATGGACAAGTGGTCGATGCTGTATGAGATCTACAGTGAGTTCATCTCCAGCATGCCATGCAGGGCTGTGATTGGGACGACCGGCCTGGCGCAGTCGCCGTTGACGATAGAGATTGTGAACTGCATAGCGTATAGGGTGGCAGTGTAGGGGGCTGGCCCATGGATTGCCGAGCGGCTGGCATTCTGTAGCGCCTCTGATCCCGCTGTTCAAACCGTTCAGAAGTACTTGCAGCGAATCAGCTCATTTATTGTTCGTCTCAGGTCTGCCAGGAGCCTCTCATCGATTGTGTCCGTCCACCAATGAGCGATTCACCCCTGTAGGCAGCCAGCTCCCGTAGCGTCTTCGTGCCTGCTACAGCTACGTTGTCATCCCTGATATCCCCTTAGTAGCCTAGAGATGCGGACGAAAAGCCTCGCTGCAACCAGAGGGGTCTCGTTCAAGCCAGCCAGCAGACGAGTATTGAAGAGAGAGGAGTCTTCAAATGACTGTGGAGTTGCGAGCTTGTTGCAGCGTAGGCGTCAGCTGCTGCGATCAGCAAACTCGATCTTCGCGGACTCTAACAGCGTGGCATCGCGCAACAGATCGCTGGCCGTCAGACTCAGCGTCTTGGCCACCAGGAGCGCGTTCGAGAGGGCCAGATCGGTAATGGCAGTCTCGGCCATCTCTCTTGTATGAGAAGCGACAGGTTCCTCGCTGACCGCATACCTCAGTTCGAAAGCCGGCATTACCTGACTGACGTTGCCGAAATCAGTTGAAGCTCCACTGCCTGGACGACCTGCCACGGGTTCGTCCATCCTGATGCCCAGTGTCTTTGCGTTGGTTCCGACAGCCTGTGCCAGAGTCACGTTGGGCTGAACATTTTCGTAGAAGGGGTAGAATTCCTGGACCTCCAGACGTGCGCCTGTCATTGACGCAGCCCCTTCCGCCACCTGTTCCACTTTGCCCACCACCACGTCGCTCAGGTATCGCCGGTCCCTGCATCGCAGCATGAAGTTGGCGGCGGCGAATTCCGGTACGACGTTGGGCGCCATGCCTCCATCGGTGATTACTCCGTGGATGCGAACATCATCTCTCAAGTGCTGTCGCAGGGCATCAATTCCGGTAAACAAGTGGATAACCGCGTTCAGCGCGTTGATGCCGGCCTCAGGGGCGGCAGCAGCGTGAGCGGCTTTCCCATGATACATATACCGGTAGCCGACCATCGCCAGGCTCCAACTCTCCCCCACCGCCGCGGTCGTCGGTATTAAAGTGCGATTGGAGAAAGGATGGGACGAAAGGGTGGCATCCACGCCGTCGAATACGTCGGCCTCCAAAAGCCGTATCTTACCGCCGCCGCCCTCCTCCGCCGGAGTTCCAATTACCACTGCGCGTCCGAGCAAGTCCTGTGCGTTCGCCTGCAGCCCCAGGGCAGCGCCCATCGCGGCCATCGCAATGAGATTGTGTCCGCAGCCGTGCCCAATCTCGGGCAGCGCATCGTATTCCGCCAGGACGGCAATCGTAGGGCCTTCTCCAGCGCCGCCGGGGATGGTGGCCCGAAACGCCGTTTCCAACCCGCCGACACCGCGCTCCACCTGAATGTCGCAACTCTCGAGGAACCCGGCCAGGGCGCTAGATGAGTAGTGTTCCTGGTAGTTCAACTCCGGATGGGAGTGGATATCTTTCGAGAGGTCGAACAGGGCTTGTCTCGAATCATCAATCGCAGAGTTAGAGCGAGCGGCGATCTCTTCTTTGTGTCGGGTAAGTTGGCGAGTCATGGTATGCGTTCTCCTATCGGGGCTCTACAGGTCGAAAACGGTGCGGAGAGCTTCCTGTCGTACAAGGGCAGCCCGGTGAAAAGGTCTGCAATACGGTACGCTCAGGTCCCACCTGGGAAGGCTCGACCCACATTACGGCACTCTGTTAAGTGTTCTGCGGCTCGATTTAACAGAAGGGCTTCACGCCCCGTAGCGTGGTGTAAGAGTACGTCATCCTGTTGATGTAGGCCAGTCCTCTTCATCCATACACTATGGTACAAAAGTTCTGCAACGTGCTATCATCTGTTCATATTCAGCAGACTCAAAGCAAGCGCGGCAGGCGAGAGGAATACTTGAACGAATTAATGAGTTCGCTAAAGTACATGGAACCCCGCGAAAGGAAGTCGAGAAGATGACCAGTTCGACCAGGACGGATGAATCGAAGCTGAGTCTGGACCAGATCTTGTCCATCCGGCCTCTGGTCGCCGCAGAGACGCCTCGATGGTCGCCGGACGGCTCTCGGATCGCATTCGTCTCTTCCCACCAGGAAGACACGGCCGAGTTGTGGAGCGTCCCGGCCGACGGAGGGTTTCCAGCCCGTTTGACGGTAGGAGCGGGCGCCAGGGATTCAGCCCCTCGCATCCCGTTCTGGTCTCCATGCGGCGTCTATGTGTCCTGCGTCTCCAGGAAGGGCGGCGCGGATGAGGTGTGGCTGTGGCCCGCCAACGGCGACGCTGGGTTCCAACTGACGTCGCTGGGCGGTCGCATCCACTCGATGAACTGGTCTCCCGACGGTAGGAGCGTCGCGGTGTCCTGCAATCGCTACGGCTCGTACGACATCTACCTGGTGGAGGTCTCATCAGGGAAGTCTGTGCGGCTAACCGATGGCCCGCTCTACGCGGTAAATCCGGGCTTCACTCCCGACGGTCGGCACATCCTGTACGTCCGACTGGATGACAGGTGGGAGAACCACGACGTCATCAGGATTTCGCTGGACGGCAAAGAACAGGAAATCGTCGTCCAGGATACAGATTTCTTTGATTACAGCTACGGTGGGGCTTTTGGCTATCCCCTAGTCTCTTCTGACGGTGAGCGAGTCCTCTTCCGCAGCCAGCGCAGCGGACACGTAAACATCTGGACAGCGCCCGTTGGCGGCGGCGAGCCGGAGCCACTGTCTCTCGAGGATGCGGAGCAGGATCACGCCGTCTGGTCCCCCGCAAGTCAGCAGGTGGCCTACACGTCCAACCGCAACGGCACGCTTGAATTAAGGGTGGCGGACGCTTCCACCGGTGAGTCCGGGGCACTCTTCTCGCCCGGCGTGGGCGTATGCTCGGCGCCGCAGTGGTCACCGGACGGCTCGAAAATAGTCTTCCGATATGGGACCCCCACGTCTCCGATGGACCTCTGGGTCGTCTCCCTGGAAGACGGCCGAGCAATGCAGCTGACCAGCGCCGGAGTTGACCCTGCGCTGACCGAGCACCTGACCGCACCCGAAAAGATTACTTACCAGAGCTTTGACGGTCTCGTCATCCACGCGTATCTCTATAGTCCCAGGAGCCGGGAGGGAGGCGAGAAATACCCGGGGCTGCTGTTCATCCACGGTGGGCCCACCAATCAGTTCGGCGATGACTTCCAGCCCTACGTCCAATACTTCGTCCAACGGGGCTACGTAGTTCTGCTGCCCAATGTCCGGGGAAGCTCGGGCTACGGCAAGGCATTCGAAGAACTGAACGACAGGGACTGGGGCGGCGACGACTTGAAGGACGCCATTGCCGGGGCCGAGTTCCTCGAGGGGCTCGGATACGTGGATCCGCAGGCTATAGGGATTACGGGGACGAGCTACGGCGGCATCCTCACGATGTGCGCGGTCACCTTTGCGCCGGGCTTGTTCCAGGCGGCTGTCCCCATGTCCGGCTACAGCGATTGGCCGGCGTTGCGCCACCAGTTGGAACTGCGGCACATCAAACTCCTGGAGCATGAGTTCGGCGCCTTCGAGGGAAACGAGGACGTCTGGTATCGCTGCTCGCCCTTCTACAGAGTCAGAGACGCGACCACGCCGACCTTCGTCCTGCATGGGGAAGGGAGGGAGGACTGGCCCGAGACTTCGAGGAACTTTGCGTTGGAGATGAAGCGGCACTATAAGACGACAGAATACAAGGTGTATCCCAACGATGGCTTCTACGTGGGTACGCTGCCCAACGTTCGGCAGATGCTGTCGGACGTTGCCGACTTCCTCGACCGCTACCTGCGCTGCTAGCCTGAGGAGTTCCAAGCGGGCAGTTGCGGTGGGCCGGCGCCAATTACAACTACGTCGGCATTCTTTGGTAAACCCTCAGTTTGGACCACTTTAGCTCCTCCCTTCGTGTTGTTGCTTAGCGATTCCGTCCATGCTAACTGCTGAGCGAAAATGTCCGCATGATGGAGCATGTGAGATTGACGCAGCAAGAACAGGCAAGACTTCAGGTACTCAACAACTTACTGGCTGGATATATGACGACGGAGCAGGCAGCGATACTGATGGGACTGAGCGCACGCCATACCAGGCGCATACTGGCGGCATACAGGGAGAAGGGAGCAGCCGCAATAGCTCACGGCAACAGAGGTCGCAGCCCTGCCAATGCTACACCGAGCACACTGGCGATCGAAGCAGTACGTCTGGCTCGGACCAGATACGCCGGAGTCAACCACACGCACCTGAGCGAGTTGCTGAGGGAGCGAGAGGGTATAGACATCGGTCGCGACACGTTACGCAGGATACTGACTAATGCCGGAGTGAACAGCCCACGCAGACGTCGGCCACCGAAACACCGGGTTCGGCGGCAGCGTATGCCGCGTGAGGGTATGCTGATACAGGTAGACGGCAGCTACCACAGATGGCTTGGGAAAGACGGACCGCAGTTCACATTGCTGCTGGCGATTGACGACGCCACCGGGATCGTTGTCAACTCCCTGTTCTGTGAGCTGGAGAACACCCACAGCTACTTCTCGCTCCTCGATGGACTAATAAGGCGCTGCGGCATACCGATCGCGCTCTATTCAGATCGGCATGCCGTATTCAAGTACACTCCACCGTCGGAAGCTGCCGGTGCTCCAACCCAGTTCAGTCGTGCGATGGACGAGCTTGGCGTACAGCTGATATTCGCTCAATCACCTCAGGCCAAGGGTCGTGTAGAACGCGCCGCGGGAACGTTCCAGGACAGGCTCGTTACGGAGCTGCGCCTTGCGGGCGCGACCACCATCGACGATGCGAACCGCGTGCTGGAGGGCTTCCTTCCACGCTTCAACGGCCGCTTCAAGGTACCTGCGCGGGAGTCGGAAGCCGCCTATCGCGCTGTGGACGAAGGGGTGCGTCTGGATCGTGTTCTGTGCTTCAAGTACCGGCGCAGAGTCGCCAGGGACAACACGGTCAGATACCGCTGGCACACACTTCAACTGCTGCCCTGCACGGACCGGCCGAGCTACGCCGGGGCAGCCGTGAATGTGCTTGAAGGACTAGACGGACGGCTGGCAGTGCAACACGAAGAACGCATCGTCCCCTCACAGGAGGCGCCACCACGCCCGAGTGTCCTTCGGGGCTTCACCAAGAGAACCACACACTCACCCATTATCAATCAGCCCACCAACGGTCTGAGCAGAAAATGGGCGGCCAAACTGGCGACTCTGGACACCAACCACGATGCCGAGCATCCCATCGCCACCTCCGGCCGCGACGGTGCTGGAAGAGTTCGTAAAACTGCGACGCTGCGACGCAGGAAACCCACCCCGCTACAGACGGCCAGGTGGAAAGCGGTGCAGAAGGCGAAGCGCAAGGGACTGTCCATGCGTGGGATCGCCCGGGAGCTGGGTATACACAGAGATACCGTGAAAAAGTACATGAACGCCGAGAGCCCACCTATGTCGCCATCTCGACTGACGTCGACCAAATCGTAGTCTGGTAGCATAGCAAGTTACGGGGAGGACATTTTCCCTTAGCATTTAAGCGGACATAATCCCTCAGCAGCGACACCCTTCGGTCCATTTCGTAGCGTGGTCTCCATCCCAGCAGTCGCTGCGCCTTCTCCGTACTGATTACGCTGGCGGTGCCGCCCAGCCCTTCCCGTATCTCCACCCTGTCGCCGAAGTTGTTTCTGACAAGATCAATCGTGGGCTCTTTGAAACGGCTGGAAGGCTGGGCGATCATGAACGCCTCATACTCTTGTATCTCCGCATCCAGCGCCAGTACGTGGGCCTCTGCCACGTCTCTGGCGTCGGCGTAGGCCCACATCACCAGTGTCAGGGGGTTCTCCGGCGTCGGGGCCTGCCAGGGAAACTCCGCCTGGACTTCCGGAGACGCGACGTTGGTGAACCTCAGGCTGACGACGGTGGTGTCCGAGCTGCGGGCGATCATTCTGCCGATGTCCTCTCCAACCTGCTTGGACAGGCCGTAAGGCTCGAAGGGCATCATGGGGTGTTCCTCGTCCAACGGCAGGTACAGCGGTACGAAGGCGTTCCCGTCCTGGGCCCATCCCATGCCGAAGGCGCTGGACGAGAACACCACGCGCCGAAGTCCCAACTCTGCCGCGGACATCATGACGTTGAAGGTACTCGCCACGTTGTTGTCGAAGATGATACTTGGGTCTTCCCTAAGCGGGCCTGGGATAGCACCCATGTGAACGACCGATTCCGCGTCCCTGAGAATACGCTCTACTGCCCTGGCGTCTGCGAGATCGCAACGCACAAACTCAGCCGGAAGTTCGTCGGCAGCCAACCGGTCAGTCGCCAGGACTTCTCTGTCCTGGTCCACCAGCAGTTGCACCACCATACGTCCCAACCTGCCCGCCGCTCCGGTTACCACTATCATCTCTTCCTCCGGCTAAACTACTGCGGTTGACGATCAGACAGCCTCACCGCATACGCAACGCCGTCTTCTTATGGACGGTCAAGCCCGTGGATGCCTCGGTAATCGCTCGTTGGAGGCGACTGCCAGCCTTCCATGAGTCCGGGATGGGGCTGATAAATCTCGACGCCCAGCGGATGGCAGGTGTCGATGGGATCGTCGGCGTCTTGTCCCCAAGCCTGGACCGACAGGTCTCCTTGGGGACAAGTGGAAATGGCGCAGAGCAGGTCTATCTCTGCGAAGAACTCGAAGTAGTCTCCCTGCCTGGCCGGCGAGGGCTTCACGAAGTAGCGGTCGTCGGTGGTAAGTCCGGTCACCTGGAATATGTTGAGAACGTCGTGAACGTCGCTCTCATCGAGATGGTACGGAGCGACTGCCCGCACCAAGTTCGAGTGGCAGCAGTAGTCGAATTCCTCGCCATTCAGCATCTTGTGAACGTATGGATCGCAGCGGGTGCCCAGCAGGTCATGACATCCGGCGCCGTCCTCGTCCAGAGGATAGTCCACCGTGTCTGCGGTGATGGTGAGCATGGGGCGCAGGTACGGGAGGCACGACCATAGCCGGTCGAACGTGGTGACGTGGGCTCGGTGCAGCTGCTTGGTGCGGGCCGCCCAGAACCGTTCTCTGGGATTATTGAGGTTCCAGGCGTTGAAGTCGGCCACCTGCGCCCCTTCCACCACGACGATGCGGCATATCTGGCCTGCCAGTACCGGCCAGGCTCTGCCGGAGCGTATTGGCACCACGAACTGTTCGATCTGGTTGCGGGTCTCCGTCTCCTGACCCAAGCGTCCGTAAAATACCCGGTCGACGTCAATGGGACTGCCTGGTCTGGGTTGGTAGATTACTCTGGGAGTTGGCATAGGAACCCCCTTCGGGAGTGTACTTGATGAATCTCGCCGACCATGGTTGCCCGCGAACGGACGGGTTTTTCTCACCCGCACCGTAAGCGGTATCAGGTTACCACAGAATGGTCGGGGCGTTGTCGAAGTAGGCGGGCCTGCTCCCTCATGAGGAGGACATCCCACCCCAGGTCCATGGGAGAAACTTCGACGACGGTATCGACTCCACCACTCCTGGCCTCGCTAAAGGACTCCAAGGCCATATCCAAGACCTGGTCTCTGAGTTCCAGCTCGGAATACGTGGCCCGGATGCCGGCGGACGAATCAATCAGGTGTTCATGGGGCAGAGTGAATCCCAGGTCCGCCGTATCCAATGGCCCCAGGACAGAGTTTATTATTGTTGTCATATCTCGCTCCGGTCTTTCCATGCGGTCTCGATTTCGGAAGCTGTCTCTCATCGGATTATACAAGTGTTGGCTTCATTTGGCGGTGGTAGAATCAGCAAACCGTCCCATCATAGTCAATTCAGTCCATACGACAAGAGACAGGAGGAGCGAAACGCCATTGCACTTCACTGAGCAGGAGTTGGCCGGCCGCAGGGAGAAAGTTGTGGCTGAGTTGCAGCGCAGGGGGTTGGCAGCCCTGCTGATTTTCAGGCAGGAAAGCATGTATTACCTGACTGGGTACGACACCATGGGCTATTCGCAGTTCCAATGCCTCTATCTCGGAGATGACGGCAAGCTGGTTCTGCTGACAAGATCCGCGGACCTGCGGCAGGCGCGGTTGACCTCCGTGATCGACGACATTCGTGTTTGGGTGGACGGCGCCGACAGCAACCCGGGCAAGGACCTTTGGAATATCCTAGAAGAAGAGGGGTGCCGGGGCCGGCGGCTGGGCATTGAGTTGGAAGCGTGGTGTCTGACCGGGAAGCGCTGGGACAACGTGAGGACGGCTATCGAGGGTCGCTGCGAATACGAGGACAGCTCGGAACTGGTGAGCAGATTGAGGCTGATCAAGAGCGATGCCGAGTTGGAGTACGTCCGCACAGCGGCGGCTCTGGCCGACGACGCCTTAGCGGAGGCCCAACGGCTGGCAAAGGCGGGTTCGCCGGAACAGGATGTGTTGGCCGGGATGAAGTCGGCGATCTTTCGAGGAGGAGGCGACTACCCAGCCTCCCGGTTCATCATAGGGTCGGGGGAGAACGCGCTCATGGTAAGGAATTTCACGGGCTACGGCACACTGGGTACCCATGACCAACTGCAGCTGGAATTCGGTGGGGCTTACCGGCACTATCATTCCTGTCTCATGCGGACGATCCTTACCGGAGAACCCAGCAGGCTACAGCTTGCCATGCACTCCGCGTGGTGCGACGCCCTTCAAGCCTGCAAGGACGCTGCCCGGCCAGGTTTCGCTTTCGGCGATATCTTCTCCGCCCATGCTGACTCCCTGGATCAGTCCGGTTTTGGGGAACACCGACTCAACGCCTGCGGCTATAGCCTGGGGGCACTGTATCCGCCAACATGGATGGACTGGCCCATGATATACATGATATACAAGGATAACCCGGTGGTGTTGCAGCCCAACATGGTGATCTTCATGCATATGATCCTGCTGGACTGGGATCAAAGGCTGGCAATGTCGGTGGGAGACACCGTGCTGGTCACCGCAAATGGATGTGAGACACTGACAAAGATGGGGACGAATCTGATAGTGAATTGACCACCAGCGCCGCAGCCATCATATTCTGTTCATCACCCGTTGATGAACAGAATCCAGCGGGACCACTGGACTGGCCAGGATTTTCATTGCGCAAGTGGGCGGCGGTACAGCGGGAGTCATCTCTATAGGTCTCCATGATGTTAGAGGAAACAAGCAAGGCTGGCAGGCCGGAGGTGGGCCAGTTATCACGCTCAGGCCCAAGTCTGGAGGAGCATGACCATGATTCGCCAAGAACTCATACAGATGCTGGAACAGGAGCTGTCCGGTGAGAGGGCTTTAGAGTCTGCGGCTCACTTGACCCAGTTCTACCGCTCTCCGGGCGCTTCCGGGTACCATCGGGCCACGGACTTCGCGGCAGACCTCCTTCGAACCAACAAACTGGACAAAGTATGGGTGGAGCGGTATCCCCTGGACGGCGAGACGAAATTCATGAATGTTGCCATGCCCCTGGCGTGGGAGCCGATCAGCGGTGAACTGAGAGTCGGGTCCCCCACGGGTAGGCTCCTGGTATCCTACGAGGACGCACCATCATGTCTTCCCTGGTGGACGCCATCCACTCCTGAAGGCGGGACTACCCTGGAATTGGTGGATGTTGGCACTGGGGAGCGAGTCGTAGACTATCAAGAGCAGGACGTACGTGGCAAGGCAGTCCTGGTCCGGGGCACAACGCGGCCAAGCGGCTTCGGTCATGCCGCCACCTTAGCCACGGAGCACGGTGCCGCGGGCATCATAACTGACTACTTCCTGTATCAGACACCCCCTTTTCGCACGCGTGAGTCGCTGCCTGAGCCTGTGCAACTCCTGCGCATGCCCACCAACCTACCGAGTGCCTGGGCGATATCGGTTAACTACCCAGCAGCGGAGCATCTTGCTTCATTGGCACGTCGGGGCGCCACCAACATCTGGGTCGATATCCAGGCCAGGACGTTCAAAGGAGAAGCTCAGAACCTGCTGGCGGACATCTCCGGCACTGACGAGGCCGGACAGATCATTCACTTTGTGGCCCACGCCACGGCAGGGACTAAACCTGGAGCCAACTGCGCCTCGGGCCCCGCACTGATGGCGGAAATGGGTCGCGTTATATCTGCCCTCATCTCCCGCGGACGCATACCCCGTCCCAGACGTACAATTCGCTTTCTTATCAACGTGGAGGGTCATGGCACCAAGCACTATGTACACAACCATAGAGCGGAAATTGATCGGACTATCGCCGCAATAGCCCTGGACAGCGTGGGGCATGACCAGAACAAGTGTAAGTCGGCGCTCCTCTTCTATCACTCTCCTGACTCCGTACCCTCCTTTATCAATGACTATTACGTGAGCCTTATGGAGTCGACACCGAAGGAGACACGGTGGGTGTTTAGCGAAGGCAACCGAATTCCATTCGTTAACTTTACTGACCTGCCCTACACCCCATGGAGCGACAACCACTACTATCCTGCCTATGGGATACCATCACCCCTTCTCATGTCCTGGCCTGACCTGTACTTCCACACCGATTTCCTCACATCGGACAACCTCGACCCTATGGTCTTCCGCAGGTGTGGTATCACGACGGCCCTGGCAGCCTTGGAACTGGCTTACGCCGGTCCGGCTGAGGCTCAGGCCATAATGCGAGAAGTCGGTAACCGCAGCCAGTTTCGGCTAGGTCGCATCGCCCTGGAGGCAAGAGTGAGCGCCGACAAAACTCGGACACGTAAACGACTCATCATGCTAGCCCAGCGGGACCAGAAAGCGGTGGAGTCTGCACTGATACTGGCCAGTGCTAAAGAGCGCAAGGAACACCCGGATCTGGAGTCCATTAACAATGAGGTTCAGAAGGAGATTGCAGACCGGTTGCAGCAGACATTGAGTTGGCTGCAGGACGATAGTCCCGTTCCAGATGAATTCCCTCCCGGCAATACGGTGCCCAAGCGGTTGATAGAGCGTGACGCTCCCGGACTGGCGGGCACCAGCTACTGGGACCTGGTTCGGATGGCTCGTGAGATGAATGCCAGGGATCCGAAGATGAGATACGACTCGCTGCGTATCATCGGAGATGAGATATGGAACTTTACCGACGGCCAACGCAGCGTAAACGATATAGCCGACGCCGTGGGGGCCGAGTTCGACTTCGACCTGGAGCCTCGGCATGTCCTCAAGCTGTTTCGGGGGATGGCCGGCCAGGGATTCGTGAGTTTATCTGAGACTGGCAATTAGCGAGTGAGCGTGGTCGCTTGAGAACCATGAGGACTGCCAATACTCCAAGAAACAGGGGAGGTCGTCCCATTTGTGCGGAACCCGCAAATCAATTGAACCCGAGATCGTCGCACATGCCTGCCCTTCTCGGCTTACACAAGTCTTGGCTGTTGACGCTTTGTTTCAAGGAGGCGCCTGACAATGGACATACCTTCGACGACTGTAATCAAAGCTAGGACATTGATAGACGGCACCGGCGGGCCGCCTCTGGAACGTCCCATCGTTGTGGTTGAGGACGGCAAGATCACGGCGGTTGGTCAGCAAGGGAAGGTGCAGCCTCCTCAGCAGGCGGGCGTCCGCGATCTGGAGTTTCCAGAAGGACACCTGCTTCCAGGATTAATCGACGTCCACACTCACCTGATGTTCGGGACGGTGGGTGAACACGGCTACAGAGACGGACCGTACGAATCGGTAATCGAACGCGATACCGACGAGATAATGCTGCTTCGGGCGGCGCACAACACACACATACATCTGAGTGCCGGTGTAACCACCCTGCGAGACTGCGGTGCTCGTAACCGCATCACGTTTGACCTACGAGAAGGGGCCAGGCAGGGTCTGGTCACTGCCCCCAGGCTGCTGCTTTCGGGCCGTCCCGTGACCATCACTGGCGGACACTTCTTCTGGTGCAACGGGGAAGCGGACGGCGAAGACGGTGTCCGCAACGCGGTGCGTCAGCTCGTCAAAGAGGGGTCTGACTTCATCAAGATAATGGCCTCTGGAGGAGGCACCGCCATCACCGACAATCGAAAGCACTCCTACGGCGTTGGGGAACTGCGCGCAATAGTGGAAGAGGCCCACGTACATGGGAAGCTCACCACGGCTCACTGTCTGGCGACCCAGAGTATGATAAACGCCCTCGACGCGGGTGTTGACATGATGGAGCACGGGGGATTCATAGAACACGGCGGATCTTACGTTTTCCGCCCGGAGATCGCTGAGCGCATCGCCCAACAGGGAATGTACGTCAGCCCGACCGTTCAAACAGGATACCGTGGGAGGGAGGCTCTCCTAGAGCGGTCTTGGCATTGTCAGCTGAGTTCAGTGGAGAAGCGGCAACTCGA